ATACATAACACACCGGCGGCCCCCCCCCCCCCCCCCTGCCGCAACCCTGAGTGGCTGTTCCGTGCCTACCAGGACACAAAGGTGAACATCCCTTCTCTCATCCAAGTGATCAGACAGACTGTGAAGTCTAAGCCCGGACCCAAGAAGCAGAAATGGTCTGGTAGCCTCTACCCTGGCAAAGTGAGGGATGCCAAGTGTCAAGCTTCTGTCCAGGGCACGAGCGAAGCTAAACTTGCCGTGTCCTGGCAGATCCCCTGGAACCTGAAGTATCTGAAGGTCAGAGAGGTGAAATATGAAGTGTGGATACAAGAGCAAGGGGAAAACACTTACATGCCTTATATATTGTCCCATCAGAATCATACCTTCTCAGAAAACATCAAGCCCTTCACGATATACCTAGTGTGGATACGCTGCATCTTCAACAAAAATCTTCTGGGACCTTTTGCAGATGTGCTGTTGTGCAGTACATAACCTGCTGCACTCCCTGTACAGCTCTATCGTGCTCTCCACCCCATCTGTGGTTTAAAACTTCATGTCTTGTAGTTTGTAGAGGGCTGAAAAGGACTACACTGTACCAGTGCCTAAGTGTCCATTTTATTGCACTCAATGTGTATTCTTTAAATGGTGTTTATTTCCAATGAGTGTTTAAAAAAAAAATCAGAAACCTGTATGTTATTCAGAATAACTTTCAGAGGTTAAATTACATGCTGCATACATGTAATTGAAAACAGAATGGAAGTGAATTGTTTGTACCTTGGTCGTGATATAAATGCGTTCCTGTTGTGTGGTGAGTATTTAAGCACAGCATTAAACCACAGTTAATTCCATGGCTAGGTGGGCAATTCTCATCAGCTTTTTCATTGTAAGTTGAGGGGGTTTTTTTTCAATAACTCTGTAACTTAGAGTTCAAGATTTGGTACAAGAGCCTTCATTAAACTGCTGTAAACCCCCTCGATATATTTTGCTTTTTATTATCTGTCAGAATCGTTATTGTGACAGATTTATCTATTGCTGTGATAAAACATGTATATTGGGTAGCTTTTGATTTTTCATTTTGTCTGAAGAGAATGAAACTACAGTTTCAAACCTCATGTTTAAAATCAGATTTTACTGCACCCCAATAGCAAAAGGCTGGAGTAGCAAATAGGAGATAGAAGGGATGGAATAGATAAAGCAATTTACAGGGTTTTAACATGTTTTCATTTTGTGAATTAAGTACAGGTCTGTGGAAAAGGAAGGGGATGGTTGGGAAGAGGTGATGGGGGAGAGATTACACTTAGAGCAATCCGCTCAAGAAAATCCGTTGTTTTGGTGTTTGATCAGAATAATCTGTTGATAAGAGCTGCTAACAGCTATGTGCTTTGCTCAGTAACAGGCAGGTGGTTGCAAAGGGAAGCTTTCTGGGCACAGGTTTTCCTGGATGTTTGTGGGAGGAAGCAAAGTCAGGCAGCGAACAGGTAGGTGGGTGCCATGGTGTTGGGCAGGAGTCAGGCTGATGACCCTCCAGTGAGGGGAGTAGTTTATTCTAGACTTAGACTAATTTTGCCTGAGATCAGAATCTGCCTTCATTGCTGGGGTAACACACTGACTGCTTAGGACCTGATCCTACTCAGTTTCCCCTTAGGTGGAGACCCTAAGTGATGCTGTCTTTGAAGAACAGCTCTGTGTCAAAAGTACAGCTCTTGGGGAACAGAGGAAAAAAGGGGCAGGAGTGTGAGGTGTTTCCCTGATGGGTGTTCACATCCTCAGTAGTTTATAAGCAGCGTTAAAGCCCCAGAAAAAGTGTTTTTTCCTGCTTTCCCTCCCCAGTTCCCATCATCCTCCCGAGGTCTGGGTGGATGCTTGAACAGTAGGATAAATGCCTTGCTTTCTGAGTGATGGGCTGATAGATGAGCATCCAAAGGCAGGTTTATGAGTTCTAGAGAGTGGGGGAGAAAAACCTTGCTGTACAAATCAGACAAGAAGCAGGAGGGTTGGAAAATGAGTGGAACATCGCTATACGACATTGGACCTTCAGGCAAGTGCTACTTCTGAATATTCATTTTTATTACTTCTCGCTTTGTTTCAGACATGGTTATGATTTAAGGGGAGGGGGAGGAACAGAACAACAATCCCAAAGTCTGTGTTTCCTTTGTCATTGTAGCCCTGCCAGCTAATAATCTTTGCCATGGTATTTTAAAGGTGCATGTGATTACTCCCACTGTTGTTTTATAGGACAGAATGGGCTGCTTGCTGAAGTGAGTATCCAGTCTGTGCCCCAATGTCTCCATGTGGCTGCACATCACGTACCACTTATATGAGAGGTGAAGAAAAACTTCACCAGCAGGTGACAGATGTGAGATCAGGCTGTTTAGGGAAGCCACCAGGACCTGTAGCTCCCCAGGACCCCACTGGCTGATTAGCTCCCACTCATGGAAGGGATTTGCTGCAGTCTTGCATCCCCACGTTCATTCAGGTTAAAGGTAGCCCTGTGGCCAGTAGCCATCCTCCTCCTAGCTGTTGGCAAGAGTAGTAATGGTGGCACCTGACAAGGTCAGTATTGAGTCTTCAAATGGCTGAGACTTAGTCAGCATCCGTTCTGCATCAGTTCTCAGAAGTAACGTTCTTGGCGGGGTGAGCTGCCTGTGTTTCCCTAACCACCCTTCATCCTGGGCAGGTATTGGTCTGTGTGTTGCTTTCCTGTCTGCCTTACTCAGAGCCTTTCATAGCAATCCTTTGCCCATAATTTGTAGACCATCCCATTTCGCTTAAAATTAGTTTCGTATGATTGCAGGTTTTCTAACCTTTGCAGACTGGTTACAGCACATTAACTATTTTCTTCTCACACCCTAATGATTCCAATCAACAAAATTGGCTACAGAGTAATGAAGTATCATATATGTGGGTTTCCATGCTCTTAGCTCTAGCACGAAGCAGTCTTCTGCATTCAGAGACTCACTTTTTCCAGAAGATAATCAAATGTGCTTTCCAAAAGTGTGTATTCAGGTTCTGTCTTCCTCATCACTGCTGCGAGTAGTTTATGAGGTGGAAACAAAATTAAAGGATTTTTCCTTTTTGAATTCTGAGGTAGCTGAACACTGGAGCTGTGATGGTGATGTTGCCATTTGCCTCCAACACCTGCCCAGTGTGAGAATGTCTGTACCAGAGCCTCACTGGTAGACCTGAATTCCTCCTCTGCCAGAGCATGCGGCACTGAGAGTACATGAGCCAGCCTGTAGCTGTCATAAATTGGGCACAGTAATGTTATGCTGATTTATACTACCTCAGGAACTGCTCTGGAGTGCTATTACCTTCCCGTAGTGAATTTTCTTTCCTTTTAATAACTGCCATCACTGCTCTGCAGGCCCGTTCCATTTTTCGCCCCCGATCCTCCCCTGACCCCCAGGCTGCTTGCTTCCCATGCTTCACATGAATATTCTCTCACACAGCCTCCAGCCTTCACAGTTAAGAACCCATTGGGACTTTTCTCTGTCAGTGCCACTTTTTGGTTGATCAGAAGGAATGCCTACCTGGCATTGCTTAAAGTTTCATCCTGTAATGAATGTGGGCTTTCTGTGCGCAGGGGCTGGGGCTGCATCTCTCACATGTGCAGGAAGGCAGGGCTGGACCTCGGTTACTGTATTTCCAAGGCAAGCATGTGGGGCTCATTTTGACAAGGTGCGTTGTGCAAGAGACTTGCACCTTCCACCACTGACTGCATCATTTGGTTTTGCTCCCAAAGCAAATACATTAAGCTCTGCAGTGCTGTCTGGCCCCACTGTCCTGGAAGAAGAGAAAAAGCTGGGATTAAATCCAAAACCCTCTGGGTGCAGCGGAGGATGCTATTAGCAAGCTGGTCTCAACTCGCTGCTGCCAGACTTGGCCGTGCTTTCATAGATGGATCATGTAGGAGGATTTCCTCTGGCTGCAGTTTCATCTCTCCTTCTAATCAGCCAAAGTGCAAGGAGCAGGCAGCTGCTGCAGGAGGGCTGCTTACCCGCACATATGAGGATAAAGCAGGACTGAATGCAGCACTTACCAGCTTGCACATGTGAGGTGTTGGAGGGGGAGCTGCAGGTTCTATGATAACAGTTCTCAATGGGACTTCTCAAGTGTGGTGGTGACTTTAGCAGAGCCAGAGCAATTTCACGCTACTGTTATTTTCTGTTTCTTACAGCCCAAACTCACCCCAAAAATCAATATCCAAGAATAGAAACATTCCTGGAGAGGTTCCGACCTGGCTTGGATGTGTTTCTTGGGAAGGACATGCTGCCATCAGGGCTGCAGAGAGCTAAAACTTACAGATGGAGCTTGTCCTAAGTGGACCAGCCCTTGCTTAACACAGTGGAAGACCAGTTGCTCTGGAGGCATAGCCTGGAAGAGCAGGGAGCAGGTTAGAGTAGATCAAAGTGAGGACTTGAAAAGCCAGTCAGACCATCTCCTCTATGGATCTGTGGAGGTCTATGGAGTGGTGGGAGGGACTTGTTCCAAGCAGCCTAGCAGGTGGCATTTGCATGGGGAGCTCTCATGAGAAAATTTCTAGAGCACTTGTTTGCCAGCTTCTCGGGAGCCTAACACATTGGGAAATAATGAAATCCTATGTTCTCTAAGAAAATATACAGATGAAACAAAAGTCCTTTGGAGATTGTCCTGCCAAGTGACTGTCAACATCCTCTGCGTGGCTTTTAAACTCTTATTCCAAGCAGGAATTATCCTCTACATGATGGTAAATGGCTTAGAGGTGGATGTCCTGAGCTGCTCCCTTGGCTGGGAGCCACATGAAGACGTTGCTGAGCTGTTGGCCAAGCAAGAGGCAATGAGGATGCTGGTGCCCTGGGAGTGGTGTTCTCATTTGGGTGCAACCCAGCTCCTCTTCATCTCCCTCTGCACAGCCCATGGGGCACCTTGGTGGCCACCAGCTGATCATCTCCTCACCAGCCAGAGATGCTCCCATGCTTATGCCACACACCTAGCCCTCGAAAGGATGCAGAGTCCTGAACATCATCCAGAAAAACCATGCCTGTCATAGACTGTTACTGCCTAGCTTTTGCTTAGCAAAATTATTGCACCTTCTTTTACTGGCCCTATGGATTTCTCCTGCTTTTGGCTTCTTTCTTCTCTGACCGTGCCTGTGGGTGGTAGGGGCAGGCAGGGATGGGCTAGCTGCAATCCACACTGGCACCTGGTGCAGGTTTTACACCTCCAGAAAGTGATATGTAGTGAAAATAACTGGTTTTGCAGAGTTCAAATTGCAATTTTTCTGTTTCCTTTTTCTCCTCTCCCCTGATTGTTTAGGACAAATCCTTTTCTTAAAGAAGTAATAATTTTTAAGAGCAATAACTTGGAACTTCTAAGAGCTACTGTGAAGGGAAGGAAAATAAAAAAAAATAAAAAAAAAATAATAAAAAAAAGGCAGCTTAGGAAATATGTTTGCAGGAGAAACCAGACCATTTCTTAGAAGATTTGGTGAGGAATAACACAAAGTGCCTTTT